AATGTAATTTGATACTTCAATAGGCATGTCAGAATGTTTTACCTCAATCTCCACTTTGGGATCAGAATCTGAATCTGAGTCTGAGTCTGACTTAGCCATGAGACAGAAATTTGAGATATCTTCATCACTGTCTTCACATTCTGTGTCACTCCAGGTTTCTGCTTTTAAGACCTTCTTTGCTTTCTCAAACTTAGTCTTCTTTTTCAGAAGTGGACAATTTGGCTTGATATGTCCACTTTTCTTACAGTGAAAGCATATAACATCCTTCGATCTCTCGGTTTCATCGAAAGACTTCTTCTTCTCAAAAGGCTTCTTACCTCTGAGGTTTCTTCCTTTGACCTTCATTTTCTTATACTTTTTTATAAAGAGAGCTAGTTCTTCATCATCAACGTCTTCATCTTCAGAATCTGCATCAGAATCAATGTTAGTCTTCAAAGCAATTGATTTATTACCTTTGGATTCAATCTCCTCATTCCGTTTCTCAGTCTCATATGATTGAAGAGTTCCAATTAACTCATTCACTGATAGAGGCTTGATCCTTTGTGTCTCTCGAAGAGATGTTTTGATGTTATCCCACTGATTTGTCAGTCCTCTCAGAAGTTTGTTGACTTTCATTGCATCCGGAACTGGTTGTCCTTGATAAGCAAGACCGTTTACTATATCAGTAAACCTGTCATACAAATCAGCAATTGATTCTCCAGGCTTCATTTTGAAGGATTCATATTGACCAAGCAAAAGATTGATTTGAGTTTCCTTGGCTCGATCTGTTCTTTCATAAGTGACAAGGAGAGTATCCCAGATTTCCTTAGCTGATTCACAAGTAGCAATTTTTTTATATTCAATAGGAGATAAAGCACAATAAAGAGAATAAATTGCTTTGGAATCTAAGGTTTCTCTTTTGGATATCTCAGTTTGAGATAATGGAGGATCTGTTGCTATGCTTGCTTCTGCCTTTTCTTTTGAATCAGAAGATCTTGGATTGACTCATCTGATAATGACATCCCATTGCATGTGATCAATTGACTTTATGAATGCCTTCATCTTATTCTTCCAGACACTATATTCCTTGCCATCGAAATATGGTGGTCTGTTGTTGCTCTGTCCTTCAATGAGCCCTGGAGCACCATAGCTAGCCATATAGATCGTTAGCTCAGAAGTAAGACACTTCAATAAATGAGCAACCAAGCTCTGATACTAATTGATGTAGCTAGCAAGGATCACCTAGAGGGGGTGAATAGGTGATCTAAAACAATTTTAATAATTTATGCGGAAATAAAATAAATCACAGAAGATTCTGAATAAAATTCAGATTCAAGACAGATTATATAGACGGTGCTCTTGATGTGCAGAATGTAAAGTAAGAGATAAGGGATAGAGAATCTGCACACAAGTTTACAGTGGTTCGGCTTATAGCAAGCCTACGTCCACTCTCCCACGCTTACAGCCTACCAGCTGGATTTCACTATGTAATCAAGAGGAATTACAACTTCTGAGTGTTAACACTCTTGTGTATGATAGGACTCTCTATCTCACACAATCACTCTTACAAAGTGTCCCTCAAGATCTTAATGTTTTGCTCAGAACGACAAGAGAAATGATTGGAGTATGCTCAGACTTTGGACTTGTTGATTCTTGATTCTGTACTACCTTCTGCTGCTCGTTGATCTCCTTAAATACTCCTCTACTTCCAAACTAGCCGTTGGACAGCTTTCAGAGGATCATCTTCCAATCTTCACATTAGACAGATTTGTATAGAAAGGATTGAGTAGCCGTTGGATAACATATTCTGAACCCCGCTGATTCTGGTCGCCCATACAATCAGAATCTTGGTTTCCATAAGTAGAGTTTTGTCCGCTGTAGTGCATTCCTATCGTGATGTTTGATTGTCAATCAATTTGATTAGGATTGAGACAATCAGAACATTCCTTCTGTGAAATCCATGCCAGATCACTAGCTGTTGTGTTACGTTCTGAATTCTGCGTTTGAAGAAATTCTGCGTCTGCATCTGAAGAACTTCTGCGTCTGCGTCTGAAGAATTTCTGCATCTGAATAATTTCTTCGTCTGCATTTGCATCTGAATAACTTCTGCTTCTGCATTTGCATCTGAATAACTTCTGAGTCTGAATTTCAGAACTTCGATTATGTGGGTCTTCATAACCATACTTGACAGATTGTAAAGTCTGAATAACTTTCTTCTGAGCTTCCAGAATATACAGACCTGGAATAAAATTGTTCAGAATAAGTATCAGATTTATAATAACATAGATGGTTTTGTCATCTTCAAAATCAATAGGAGTTTTCCTCAACATTAAGCTCCGAGCTGATCCGAGGAGGGTGATATCTTGTAGACGCGGTCCACTCTCGTCTATATCTTGTACTGTGGTTCTCCTTATGTAGAAGTGAAGGGTATGCGGATATCACCTGCCATTAAACATCTGCAGCTCTTCGTTTCTATAGCATAAAATGGTAAGTTGAGTCTAAGAGAATAGAATGTTAATTACACCTTCCCTAAGTGAGCAATAAAGTCCAATCTTTCCTGAACATGTGCGGTTCACTAATAGTAAGTCTGCAATATACGTCTCATCATGTCCGCAGCTCATGTCCAAATGTTGTAACTTACTGATAGCAAGTCATGTGGATTCAGTATCTTGTGTTGAACCAGCTACGTACGCGATTGGCTGACCGGCTCTCTGGACAGGCCATAGTGAGCTTGTAGCCATTCTTTAACACATCCTCTTCATGAATGAATTTGCAACTAGGATCTAGATCATCAACAGAAGAAGTGGATATGTACTACCAAAATTCATCGAAGTTTCCTGGTATAAGATTATGGTCTTCTTGGCTGTGATCATCGTAAGATTTGCTTAGCCATAAACAGGGTGAAGATTGCTAGCAGGAAAGACTAGAAAGATCCACATTAAGCCAAAGGCTTTTGATAATCGCGGGCGCAATACGCATACTTATCTGCCTCTTCCAATTTCCTGGCAAGTATTACTCTCATTAATGACATCTATTGCAACTGATTCGAAGAAGATTTGAGTGATAATGATCCACCATTATAAGTTTGTGAACTAGGATGGTATGGTATAAAAGAACATATAATGTCTTCAAAGATGAACAAAAGAGCATCCCACGATCCATCCTCGGCCACTCTGGCTGGCACATCAAGTCCGCAAATAATCATCATATAAGCTCCCTTTTCCCTTCAACTTTAGGGGAATATATTTGCAATCAATGATGAGTGTGGTAGCGATGTCATCATATACTTCCAAACAATGCAACGAAAGAGATTTTTTTTTCTCATTTAATTAGATAATAACAGCTCCGAATAGTCAAATAGGTTATTAGTGGTTCACGCACGTGATCAAATTTAAGAAACAACACAAGAAAATGACGATAATTTTCGGCATGCAAGGTCTAAGGCCACAGTTTCTTATCTTGGTTTGGTTAAGAAGTTTTCGTGAAATTTCAGTGAGTATATCTTGCTTGCTTGCAGCTTACCTGAAGTCACTGGAATTTAACAAAAGCCAAAGAAATTAATATATAATTCAACATGACAGCAAACAAATCACTAATTCAACATGACAGAAGCGTCGATCAAATTTAGTATATGAACTAACTCTTTTTTAAGAATCATATTATTCAACAGAATACCCTCCACAATATTGTAAGGCTAAATTATGACAACAAGCTTCTAAAGGAATACCAGTTACGTTCATCGGCTAACCACAATTGTTGCTGCGGCCAACAGACGTATCGGATCACATGGCAAATGCAATGAATAACTTTGATTTTCCTTGCTGATTGTTCAATATATCGAGAAAAAAAAATTAACACCCTTTGCCTATTCCAGTCACCGGCAACAATCCTTGAGCTGAAATGGAGTACATCATGGCTCTTCCAGACCTTGAGTTCCTCAACTGAAAACCAATCTTTCTACAATTGAACCCTATGCACATACAAAAACCGAAAGACAAACCGAAAAGCTAATATGCGAAAAAGGGTACTCCACTTGTTCTTGTGTTCGTAAGGCATAATCAACCTTACTTATTCAATCCTCTGCAGTGCACAAACCAAGCCTTGATTTGGTCTGGAAGCACAAAGTATTTTAACATATGACACAATTTGGGGTTTCTTCGTAAGGCATATAGTGATATATAAGCGGTCTAGAATTGTATGCTTGATAGGCTTTTACGAGATTGGCGACTGGATCTTCTTCTTTCTTGCCCTCTTCTTTCTTGCCTTCGTCTTTCTTGCCATCTTCTTCCTTGGCTGGTCCAACACTCACAATATCTGTGTGCCAAGATTTCCTCAGTTTGTTCACCACCTTGATCGGGTCAAAATCGCCGGAAACTGTTAGTTTGTTGTCCTTCGTGTCCATACTCAGAGACCCAATCCCTGGAAAGCATTATTTGACAAAGGTTAGTGATAAAGCCGAACATTTCGAGCACAAAATGATTACTATTACAGTGACGATTTAAACATTCAGTGGGAGAATGAAGGGAAAAACAGAGAGAGAGCCAATACCTCCAAAACCAGAAACTAATTGCATGGCCTTGCTCCTGTCTCTGTCATCATGCAGATCCAATTTCACCACCAACTTCTGCAAAGTTTGAGAAAAGCAAAAACCCAGTTAGATTTTGAATAAATATCAATCTCATACGACGACTGAACTTGAAAGTCACGAGTGGTGTGATAGACTAGCGTTTAAGCAAGTTGGCCATATATAATCAACGATGAATAAGAATTTGAAGCATCATTTGATATTCCTAGCATTATTATTCACAAATAACAGATACAATCATGCTATACGATTAACAATTACAACACCAAAGAAACAAACTATAACTCATGAAGCTTGAGACAGAGAGATACCAAGAGAAGTGTTCAAGAAAACACAGGAAAGAATACCATCAAGAACCCCATCTCACAGAAGTGCATAAATACACATATATGCCAAAAAGAGAGAGAACTTGTCGAAGGACAAAAAGAAATCTCACCCTCATGTCTCTTGGGTTTCAAGTACTGAGATTGCGTCTGCTCTTACTTTCGATTTGGAAGGTAATAACACTCGAATGACACTCAGAGCAAGTAAAAACAGAGTGTGTGCACGTATCGTAGTTAGACGGAAGGGCTGGTTTATATAGTGTCGAGCATATGAGAGAGAGTGCGTGAAAGGAGAAGTTTCTTGGAGGACACGATGTGTAGAACAAAGGGACAATTATTGACCAGTCGATTTGGGGGGAAGAAAGTCTAGGTCAATATAATAAAGAGCCGAGGAAAAGAGCCACGCGGCTTCTCAAAAAATTAACAGAGTCTAGACGATCGAAACCAGCGACTCGGTCGAGTCGCCCCTCGCGACTCGGAGACCATACAAGTCGGAAAATTACTAAAACGGTCTTAAATCTATTGTAATTGTGCTAATTCAGTCATAAACTTTTTTTTTATGTCAATTCGATCCTAAACATTTTACATTTGTATCAATTCAGTCCATCCGGTTACTTTTGGCCAATCGGCGCTGATGTGGACACAGGCCGACGTTGACATGGTAATTTTTAAATTTTTTTTCGATTTTATTTTTATTTTCTCTCTCTCTCTCTCTCTTTTTTCTATCTTCTTTCCTGGCTGGTCCGGCGACCGGCCAGAGGTTGAGCCCAGCGAGGCCTTGCCTTCACCGGCACTGGCGAGGGCGAGCCTCGCTGTCGCCGGGTGAGGCCTCGCCAGATCTGGGCGGCCTCACCGTTGCTGGGCGAGGTCGAGCTCGCCTGTTGCTGGGCGAGGCCATGGCGAGGCTCGACCTCGCCCGGCGACGGCGAGGCTCACCCTCGCTAGTGCCGGCGATGGCAAGCCTCGCCCATGGTTGGCGAGGTTGAACTCACTGGCCTTAGCCTTTGGCTGGCTGGACGATCGAGGAAGAAGATAGAAAAAAAAAGAGAGAAAAAAATATTTAAAAATTACCACGTCAGTGTTGGCTGGCATTGGCCGACGTCCTCGTCAACGCCGGCCGGGCAAAAGTAGCCGGATGGACTGAATTAGCACAAAAAAAAAGGTTTATGATTGAATTAGCACAATTACAATAGGTTTATAACTGTTTTGGTAATTTTCCCGAAGCAGAGGAAGTCTTGAATGTTGGCATCTGCTGGCTCGATCCACGCAGTTGACTTGACGGGTTCAAGCTTTTCGTCATTACATGTCATGAAGATACTCGCCAAATGCTCCTTCCTTAGGCTTTGCTGCTGCCATGGGTTAATAAGGTGAATTGCACTGCGTGATCCGGTGATCTGGTGTTCTTTAACTAGCATCGTCTGCAGAAAGCATCACGATTTTGCACGCATGTATCTCTTCCATCTAATATAATGAAATATCTGGATTGAAAACCTTTAACCATAGGGATGATCATGATAAGTTATTGCCGATCGATCATCCTACGTGGCACGAGGCCAATCGAAGAATTAACGGGGTGAGAGAGAGAGAGAGAGAGAGGGTGGGGACAAAAAGATGACGACCGAACAGGAACCAAAGCGGGACATCACTTTCTGCATCATCTGTGAAAATGCCACCACTGGCTGCTATCTGTTCCTTCACATTTTTGATCTCGCAAAGGAGCTTTTCCTTCAAAATCGCAAAATGTGATAGGTCGAGAAAAGAGCCGGAAGGGCATGAAACATGATCTCCTTCCACGAAAGTACGCGTTTTCACACATGAAGATGGCGACGTCGTCACCTCCGTCATCTCTTTTTATTTTTTTTATGGATTTTCGCGTTCCAGGACGTTGACGTTGAAGTCAAGGTGACAAGGTCTAAGTCAATGAATTATTATTATTAATCTAGTTCGGCAACATCAGTGAGAATTGCAGGCTGGCAGCGATGGAACGTTTTAGCTTGTGTTAAAAATTAAGGGCCATCATCGTTAACCACGTTTTAGCAGATCGGAACGATATTTTAAGCTCCGAGCTAATCTGAGGAGGAGGGCGGCGTCTCGTAGACGCGGCTCACTCTCGTCCACATCTATCTTGAGCCGAACCTAAAGGTGCCTTCGTTTTGCCAAGAATGAATGGTTAGGAATTAATGTTTTGGAAAGCATCTTCTTAAAAAATAATTGCCAACGAAAACTAATGAATGTAAAATATTTGCATTCTCCATGAAAATAGTTAGAAATGAATGCAAGTGATCGTTTTCGGGAAAATACTTTCCAAATCATTCATTCTTAGGAAACAAACGGAACCTGAAATTCCCGATCCTTCCTTTTCTTCCTTTGGTTAGCCCTTATATATCGAAATCATGGTATGCCAGCGGCTGGGAAACACTGTTGCCACATATGCAACTGAAATTTATGACAAAATGATTCGATTTCGATGCATACATCTTAAAACTATGCATAATTTTTTTTTTCCACTGGTCTTAGTTGCTCTATCTCACATCATGCGACATACTAGATTATGAGATGAACGATTAATGCAATGCGCATTCCATTTAGAATGGATAACCACCAGCGCATCATGTATTATGCTACCTACGTTGGGCCAACCTCTGAAGCAATTGCGGGAGGCAATTTCTGTCCTTTTGATTTTCTCTTTATTGATATGCGATGCTGTGTCACAAATTATTTAAGACAATCAACGGACCGGATATTTCATAAGCTCGTTGAACAGACCTGTGATACGGTACAAGTCGAAATCAAACCACCACAATTGTTTCATATCATTCAAGCGCCGAATGTCGGGACACATTTTCTACAGATTGCCAGAGAAAGAGGCATCGTCTTTCTCAAATTATTCGTCAGTTTCATCTGGACAAGAGAAGGGACACATCATTTTTCGCTGGTATTATTCAAGGGAACGGTAAAGAATGAATTGAATTATGGCGATGTCCACGATCACACTGCAGCTTCGACCATAAGAGACTTCTGAGCGATTTCTAGAGCTTCTTCCATTAAAATAGCATTCCGGAGTTTGGTTATATAAACAGGGTGAAGATTGCTAGAAGGAAAGACTTGAAAGATCCACCATTAAGCCAAAGGCTTTTGATAATCGTGGGCGCACTACTTTTACTTATCTGCCTCTCTCCAATTTCCTAGCAGGTATGACTCTCATTCATGACTTCCATTGCAGCTGGTTCCGAGAAGATTGAGTGATAACGATCCACCATTATAAGTTTGTTAACTAGGATGGTATGGTACGCAAGAATTTATACTGTCTTCAAAGATGAACAGAAGAGCATCCCACGATCCATCCTCGGCCCCTGTGGCTGGCACATCAAGTCCGAAAATAAAAATCATATAAGCTCCCCTTTTCCCTTGAACGTTGGGGAATGTATTTGCAATCAATGATGAGCGTGGTAGCGATGTCATCAAATACTTCCAAACAATGCAATGAAACAGAAGTTTCTTTTCCTCGTTTAATTAGATAAGAACGGTGCTAGTTAGTCAAATTGCTTATCAGTAGTTCCATGCACGTGATCAAATTTAAGAAAACAACACAAGAAAATGACAATAATTTTCGGATGCAAGGTGTAAGGCCACACTTGTTAAGAAGTTTTCGTGAAATTTCAGTGAGTATAACCTACTTGCTTGTAGCTTTCCTGAAGTCGCTTGACCTAACAATCATCAGAATTTGCCAAAAGCTAAAGCATTTACTTATTCAACAAGACAGAAGCATCGATCAAATTTAGTATATGAACTGACTCTTTTTTGAGAATCTTTTTATTCAACAGATTACCCATCGCAAGATTGTGAGGCAAAATTATGACAATAAGCTTCAAAAGGAATATCGGGTACGTTCATCAGCTGACCACAACTGCTGCTACGGCCTACAGACATATTGGATGACTTTACAATTGCAATGAATAACTTTGATTTTCCCTGTTGATTGTTCAATACATCAAGCAAAAATATTTAAAACACCCATTGCATATTCCTGTCACTAGCTACAATGCTTGAGCTAAAATGGAGTACATCATGGCTCTTCCATACCTTGAGTTCCTCAACTGAAAACCAGTCTTTTTACTATTGGACCTTATGCACATACCAAAACTGAAAGACGGACTAAAAAGCTAATATTCGGAAAAGGGTACTCCACTTGTTCTTGTGTTCATAAGGCCTAATCAACCTTACTTATTCAATCCTCTGCAGAGCACAAACCAAGTCCTGATTTGGTCTGCAAGCACAAAGAATTTTAACATATGACACAATTTGGGGTTTCTTCGTAAGGCACGTAGTGATATGTAAGCGGCCTAGAATAGTATGCTTGATAGGCTTTTACGAGATTGGCGACTTGATCTTCTTCTTTCTTGCCCTCGTCTTTCTTGCCTTCGTCTTCCTTGGCTAGTCCAACACTCACAATATCAGTGTGCCAAGATTTCCTCAGTTTATTCACCACCTTGACCGGGTCGAATTCGCCGGATACTGTTAGTTTGTTGTCCTTCATGTCCATATTCAGAGACCCAATCCCTGGAAAGCATTATGTGACAAAGGTTAGTGATAAAGCTGAACATTTCGAGCACAAGACGATTACTATTACAGTGACGATCTGAATGTTAAGTGGGAGAATGAAGGGAAAAAACAGAGAGAGAGAGCCAATACCTCCAAAACCAGAAACTACTTGCATGGCCTTGCTCCTGTCTCTGTCATCATGTAGATCCAATTTCACCACCAACTTCTGCAAAAGTTTGAGAAAAGCAAAACCCAGTTAGATTTCGAATAAATATCAATCTCTTACGACGACTGAACTCAAAATTCACATGTGGTGTGATAGACTAGCGTTTAAGCAAGTTGGCCACATATAATCAACGATGAATAAGAATGTGAAGCGTCATTTGATATTCCTAGCAGTATTATTCACAAATAACGGATACAATCATGGTATACGATTCACAATTACAACGGCAAAGTAAAACAAAAGATAACTCATGAAGCTTGAGGCAGAGAGTTACCAAGAGAAATGTTCAAGAAAACCCATGAGAAAATACCATCAGGAACCCCATCTCGCAGAAATGCATAAATACACACATATATGCCAAAAAAAGAGAGAACTTGTCGATGGACAAAAAGAAATCTCACCCTCATGTCTCTTGGGTTTCAAGTACTGAGATTGCGTCTGCTTTTACTTTCGATTTGGAAGCTAATAACACTCGAATGACACTAAGAGCAAGTAAAAACTGAGGTGTGTGCAAGTATCGTAGTTAGACGGCAGGGCTGCTTTATATAGCGGCGAGCATACGAGGGAGTGCGTGAAAGGAGAAGTTTCTGGGAGGGCACGATGTGCAGAACAAAGGGACAAGTTATTGACCAGTCGATTTGGGGAACGAAAGTGAAGACAATATAATAAAGAGCTGAGGGAAAGAGCCACGCGGTTTCTCAGAAAATTAACAGATTCTAGACGATCGAAAACGGTGACGGAGTCGAGTCGCCCCTCGCTACTCGGGGACCTTTGAAGCAGAGCGAGTCTTGAATGTGGCAACTGCTGGCTCGGTCCACGCAGTTTACTGCGTGACCCGGTGATACGGTGACTGACACGATAAGACGAAAGGTTGTTCTTTATCTTAGCATTGTCTGTAGAAATCATCACAATTTTGCACGCATTTATCTCTTCCATCTAATCTAATGACATATGTCAATTGAAAATCTTTTAATCACGGGAATAATCACTATATTTGTCCTTAACTTACTGTACGGATATTAATTCAATCCTAAATTTTTCAACTTTGTTAGCGTAACTCTAAATCTCCACGCGAAATCCCGATGTAGTCCTTCCTGTCAATTGCTGCCGGAAACCGCCAATGCGAACAACCTCACTCAGAACGACATCCTACCGGGCGATTTGCATACGGCCGGAAGGACCGCATTGGAATTCCACTCGAAGCATGTAAAATTTTAAATGTCTACTCCTGAATTGGTATATGTACAATAGGTTTAGGATCGACTCGATAATTTTCGCCTTCAAGCACTTCACATTCCATTTCACGTGTCGAAATGTCGTGCCCCATTTAATCATCCCCTTCTACGCAATTCGTTAAGACTTTATGATGGAAAATCTTTTTTAGCACGAGGACAATCAAAGAATTAACGGGAGAGAGAGGGGGAGGGTGGGGACTAAAAGACAGGACGACCGAACAGGAGCCAAAGCGTACATCACTTTCTTTCTGCACCGTCTCCGAAAACGCCACCACTGGCTGCTATCTGTTCTTCGACATTTTTGCTCGCGCAAAGGAGCTTTTCTTCAAAATCGCAAAAATGCGAAAGGTCCAGAAAAGCGCCGGAAGGGGCGAGGAACGTGAGATTTCTCCAGGAAAGTACGCGTTTTCACACATGGAGATGGTGACGACGTCGTCATCTCCGTCCTCCTTGATAGGAACCTGCCTCTCTCTCTCTCTCTCTCTTTTATTTTTGTTTTTTTGGATTTTTACGTTCCTGGACGTTGACGTTGAAGTCAAGGTCTAAGTCAATGAATTATTATTATTATTATTATTATTATTATTATTATTAATCTAGTTCGGTAACATCAGTGAGAATTGCTGGCTGGCAGCGATGGAACATTATAGCTTATGTTAAAAAATTAAGGGCCATCTTCGTTAACCACGTTTTAGCAAATCGAACGATCTTTTAAGCTCCGAGCTGATCCGAGGAGGGTGATATCTTGTAGACGCGGCCCACTCTCGTCTATATCTTGTACTATGGTTCTCCTTATGCAGAAGTGAAGGGTATGCGGATATCTCCTGCCATTAAACATCTGCAGCTCTTCGTTTCTATAGCATAAAATGGTAAGTTGAGTCTAAGAGAATAGTATGTTAATTACACTTTCCCTAAGTGAGCAATAAAGTCCAATCTTTTCTGAACATGCACGGTTCACTGATACTAAGTCCGCAATATACGTCTCATCATGTCCGCAGCTCATGTCCAAATGTTGTAACTTACTGATAGCAAGTCATGTGGATTCAGCATCTTGTGTTGAACCAGTTCCGTACACGATTTGCTGACCAGCTCTCTGGACAGGCCATAGTGAGCTTGGAGCCATTCTTTCACACACCCTCTGTATAATGAATTTGTAACTAGGATCTAGATCATCAACCGAAGAAGTGGATATGTATCTACCAAAATTCATCAAAGTTACCTGTATTAAGATTATGGTCTTCCTGGCTGTGATCAACGTAAGCTTTGCTTAGCTATAAACAGGGTGAAGATTGCTAGCAGGAAAGACTTATTCAACATGACAGAAGCATCGATCAATTTTAGTATGTGAACTACTTCTTTTTTGAGAATCTTATTATTCAACAAAATACCCTCCACAAGATTGTGAGGCTAAATTATGACAAGAAGCCTCTAAAGGAATTCCAGGTACGTTCATCAGCTAACCGTGACTTCTGCTATGGCCTACAGACATACTGGTTGTTCAATATATCGAGCAAAAAAATTTAGAACACCCATTGCATATTCCAGTCACTGGCAACAATCCTTGATCTGAAATGGAGTACATCATGGCTCTTCCATACCTTGAGTTCCTCAACTGAAAACCAATCTTTCTACAATTGGACCCTATCCACGTACAGAAACCGAAAGACACTAAAAAGCTAATATGCAAAAAAAGGTATTCCACTTGTTCTTGTGTTCATAAGGCATAATCAACAATCCTTTGCAGTGCACAAACCAAGCCCTGATTTGGTCTGGAAGCACAAGGAATTTTAACATATGACACAATTTGGGGTTTCTTCGTAAGGCACGTAGTGATATGTAAGCGGCCTAGAATAGTATGCTTGATAGGCTTTTACGAGATTGGCGACTTGATCTTCATCTTTCTTGCCCTCGTCTTTCTTGCCTTCGTCTTTCTTGCCGCCGTCTTCCTTGGCCGGTCCGACACTCACAATATCTGTGTGCCAAGATTTCCTCAGTTTGTTCACCACCTTGACCGGGTCGAATTCGCCGGATACAGTTAGTTTGTTGTCCTTCGTGTCCATATTCAGAGACCCAATCCCTGGAAAGCATTATTTGACAAAGGTTAGTGATAAAGCCGAACATTTCAAGCACAAGATGATTACTATTACAGTGACGATTTGAACATTCGGTGGGAGAACGAAGGGAAAAAACAGAGAGAGCGCTAATACCTCCAAAACCAGAAACTACTCGCATGGCCTTGCTCCTGTCTCTGTCATCATGTAGATCCAATTTCACCACCAACTTCTGCAAAAGTTTGAGAAAAGCAAAAACCCAGTTAGATTTTGAATAAATATCAATCTCTTACGATGACCGAATTCAAAATTCACAAGTGTTGTGATAGACTAGCGTTTAAGCAAGTTGGCCATATATAATCAACAATGAACAAGAATTCGACGCATCATTTGGTCTTCCTTGCATTCTTATTCCCATGAACAGTTCCACTTCATGAAAAACGATTCACAATGACAACGGCAAATAAAAACAAAAGATAACTCATGAAGCTTGAGGCAGAGAGTTACCAAGAGAAATGTTCAAGAAAACCCATGAGAAAATACCATCAAGAACCCCATCTCGCAGAAATGCATAAATACACATATATATGCCAAAAAAAAAAGAGAGAACTTGTCGAAGGACAAGAAGAAATCTCACCATCATGTCTCTTGGGTTTCAAGTACTGAGATTGCGTCTGCTCTAACTTTGGATTTGGAAGCTAATAACACTCGGATGACACTCAGAGCAAGTAAAAACTGAGTGTGTGCGCGTATCGTAGTTTGACGGAAGGGCTGCTTTATATAGTGGCGAGCATATGAGAGGGAGTGAGTGAAAGGAGAAGTTTCTTGGAGGACACGATGTGTAGAACAAAGGGACAAATTATTGACCAGTCGATTTGGGGAACGAAAGTGAAGACAATATAAAAAAGAGCTGAGGGAAAGAGCCACGCGGTTTCTCAGAAAATTAACAGAGTCTAGACGATCGAAACCAGTGGCGCAGTCGAGTCGGCCCTCGCGACTCGGGGACCATTGAAGCAGAGGGAGTCTTCAATGTTGGCAACTGCTGGCTCGGTCCACGCAGTTGACTTGACGGGTTCAAGCTTTTCGTCATTACATGTCGTGAAGATACTCGCCAAGTGCTCCTTCCTTAGGCTTTGCTGCTGCCATGGGTTAACAAGATGAATTGCACTGCGTGACCCGGCGATCCGGTGTTCTTTAACTAGCGTTGTCTGCAGAAAGTATCACGATTTTGCACGCATATATCTCTTCCATCTAATATAATGAAATATCTGGATTGAAAACCTTTAATCATAGGGATGATCATGATAAGTCATTGCCGATCGATCATCTTACGTGGCACGAGGCCAATCGAAGAATTAATGGGGTGAGAGAGAGAGAGGGTGGGGACAAAAAGATGACGACCGAACAGGAACCAAAGCGGGACATCACTTTCTGCATCATCTGTGAAAATGCCACCACTGGCTGCTATCTGTTCCTTCACATTTTTGCTCTCGCAAAGGAGCTTTTCCTTCAAAATCGCAAAATGTGAGGTCGAGAAAAGAGCCGGAATGGCATGAAACATGATCTCCTTCCACGAAAGTACGCGTTTTCACACATGAAGATGGCGACGTCGTCACCTCCGTCATCTCTTTTTTAATTTTTTTGGATTTTTGTACTCCAGGACGTTGACGTTGAAGTCAAGGCCTAAGTCAATGAATTATTATTATTAATCTCGTTCGATAACATCAGTGAGAATTTTAGGCTGGCAGCGATGGAACATTTTAGCTTGTGTTAAAAATTAAGGGCCATCATCGTTAACCACGTTTTGGCAGATCGAACGATCTTTCAAGCTCCAAGCTAATCTGAGGAGGAGGGCGACGTCTCGTAGACGCGGCTCACTCTCGTCCACATCTATCTTGAGCCGAACCTAAAGGTGCATTCGTTTTGCGAGGAATAAATGATTTAGAAAGCATATTCTTAAAAAATCATGACCTATGAAAGCGAATAAATGAAAAAATATTTTCGTTGTCCACAAAAGCATTTAAAAATGTTTTTCGTCGACAATGAAATTAATTTTTTATCAACTAGTTATTTCAAGCGATCGTTTTCAGGAAAATACTTTCCAAATCATTCATTCTCAGGAAATAAATGAGCCTTAAATTCCGGTCCTTCCTTTTCTTCCTTTGGTTAGCCATTATATATCGAAATCATGGTATGCCAGCGGCTGGGAAACACTGTTGCCACATATGCAACTGAAATTTATGACAAAATGATTCGATTTCGATGCATACATCTTAAAACTATGCGTAACTTTTTTTTTCCTCTGGTCTTCGTTGCTCTATCTCATATCATGCGACATACTAGATTATGAGATGAACGATTAATGCAATGCGAATTCCATTTAGAATGGATAACCACCAGCGCATCATGTATTATGCTACCTAACGTTGGGCCAACCTCTGAAGCAATTGCGGGAGGCAATTTCTGTCCTTTTGATTTTTCTTTATTGATATGCGATGCTGTGTCACAAATTATTTAAGACAATCAATGGACTAGATATTTCATAAGCTCGTTGAACAGACCTGTGATACAGTACAAGTCGAAATCAAACCACCACAACTGTTTCATATCATTCAAGTGCCGAATGTCGGAACACATTTTCTACAGATTGCCAGAGAAAGAGGCATCGTCTTTCTCAAATTATTCGTCAGTTTCATCTGGACAAGAGAAGGGACCCATCATTTTTCGCTGGTATTATTCAAGGGAACGGTAAAGAATGAATTGAATTATGGCGATGTCCACGATCACGCTGCAGCTTCGACCATAAGAGACTTCTGAGCGATTTCTAGAGCTTCTTCCATTAAAATAGCATTCCGGAGTTTGGTTATATGGAGTTTGGTTATATAAACAGGGTGAAGATTGCTAGAAGGAAAGACTTGAAAGATCCACCATTAAGCCAAAGGCTTTTGATAATCGTGGGCGCACTACTTTTACTTATCTGCCTCTCTCCAATTTCCTAGCAGGTATGACTCTCATTGATGACATCCATTGCAGCTGGTTCCGAGAAGATTGAGTGATAACGATCCACCATTATAAGTTTGTTAACTAGGATGGTATGGTACGCAAGAATTTATACTGTCTTCAAAGATGAACAGAAGAGCATCCCACGATCCATCCTCGGCCCCTGTGGCTGGCACATCAAGTCCGAAAATAAAAATCATATAAGCTCCCCTTTTCCCTTGAACATTGGGGAATATATTTGCAATCAATGATGAGCGTGGTAGCGATGTCATCAAATACTTCCAAACAAAAGCATTTAGAAAGCATATTCTTAAAAAATCATGGCCTATGAAAACGAATAAATGAAAAATATTTTCGTTGTCCACAAAAGCATTTAGAAATGTTTTTTCGTCGACAATGAAATTAATTTTTTATCAACTAGTTATTTCAAGCGATCGTTTTCAGGAAAATACTTTCCAAATCATTCATTCTCAGGAAATAAACGGAGCCTTAAATTCCCGATCCTTCCTTTTCTTCCTTTGGTTAGCCATTATATATCGAAATCATGGTATGCCAGCGGCCGGGAAACACTGTTGCCACATATGCAACTGAAATCTTTGACAAAATGATTCGATTTATATGCGTACATCTTAAAACAATGCATAATTCCCCCCCCCCCCGTCTTCGTCGCTCTATCTCACATCATGCGACATACTAGATTATGAGATGGACGATTAATGTAATGCGCATTCCATTTAGAATGGACAACCACCGAGCGCATCACGTATTATGCTGCCTACGTTGGGCCAACCTCCGAAGCATATGCGCAAGGCCTTTCGATTTTCTCCTTACTGATATGCGATGCTGTGTTGCAAATTATTCGAGACAATCAACAGACCAAATATTTCATAAGCTCATCGAACAGATCTGTGATACAATACAAGTCAAAATCAAACCATCACAACAGTTTCAAATCATTCAAGCGCCGTCTGTCGGGATGCATATTCTACATAATGCCAGAGAAAGTGGCATCAGTCCTTCTCAAATTATTCGTCAGTTTCATTTGTACCAGAGAAGGGAGCCATCATTTTTCACTGGTTTTATTCAAGGGAACGGTAAAGAATGAATTGAATTATGGCAACGTCCGCGATCACGCTGCAGCTTCGACCATATGAGACTTCTGAGCGATTTCTAGAGCTTCTTCCATTGAAATAGCATTCCAGAGTTTGGTTATATAAACAGGGTGAAGATTGCTAGAAGGAAAGACTTGAAAGATCCACCATTAAGCCAGAGGCTTTTGATAATCATACATTAGCAGGTATGACTCTCATTAATGACATCCAACGCAATTGACTCAGCCCACGCAGTTGACTGGTTCAACCTTTTCATCGTGATGTGTCATGAATGTAGCCATAAAATTGTTGGGAGCATCCGCAAGAGGAATTAAGTATGAGCTAATTAAGATATATTAATAAGTTCACATCACATCAGTTTTTTGATGTGAGGCTTTTTCTAACCCTTCTATACTACCATATTCTGCCACCAGGATCGCGTTGCTACACTACAACCACTACTGCTGCTCGAAAACCGTGTTGCTCATGAGATTACTTATTGAAGTATTTACCAAACAATGATACACATTGAGAGTGGGTCATCAATCAACCATCGAATCAGATACCATTTGTTGGGAGTACATACCAAAAGCCCAAATTGCTCTGTGGTGGTTGACTTGAATGCTAATTAAGATACATTATTGCTGCTTGAGTGTCATGTGCTGTGTATGAAGGATTGAAGCTTAGGTAGAATTATGATCATGCACTCTAGATGAGGTCCGAATATCTATTGGGCTCTTTGAGGTGGTTGACCTGCATACTAAGATTATGTAGTTAGGTCATTTCAGAGGCACGAAGCAGAGGGCAAGATGATCAAGATAGTTTCACCAATAAAATTCTCTCCGTTACTGCAAGTATGAGTGTTTAGAAGGTCAAACTTATTCTTGGCATAGTAAGGTCTTGTTCTTCTCAGTTGGTATCCTTCCAAGTATCCTTGTATGAGGACATAAAGATGCTCGGTGTTGTTTCGAAGATGAACAGAAAGAGCAATCCCCTGTTCCATCCTTGGCCCCTGTGGCTGGCACATCAAGTCCGACAAATGATTATAGTATAAGCTCCGTTTTTTCCTTCAACTTGAAGAGATTATATATGCAATCAAAGATGAGGGTGGTAGCGCTGTCATCATATACTTCCAAACAATGCAGTGATAGGAAGCTGATATAGGAATACCAGGTATGTTTATCAGCTAACTTTAGCCGCTGCCACAGCCTATGGACATCGGACCATACGGCGATTGAAATGAACGATATCTGTTGGTGCTTGCAAATTGTTTAATTTGAAACATCCACCGCATATTCCAGTCATTGAAAACAATCGTTGGTTGAAATGGAGTACAAAATGGATCTTCCATGCCTTGAGTTCGTCAACTGAAAACCAATCTCTCTACATATACACCCTACGCACATACAAGTACTGAACGACGCAACAAAAACGTGATATTCTAGAAAAGGTACACACTCGTTCTTGTGTTTATAAGGCATAATCAACCTTACTGATTCAATCCTCCGCAGTGCACAAGCCAAGTCCTGATTTGGTCTGGAAGCACAGAGAATTTCAACATATGACACAACTTTGGGTTTCTTCGTAGTAGGGCATGTAGTAATATGTGTGTGGTGTAGGATAGTATCCTTGATTGGCTTTTATGACTTGATCTTCGTTCTTCTTGCCATCGTCTTCCTTGGCTGGTCCAACACTCACAATATCTGTGTGCCAAGATTTCCTCAGTTTGTTTACCACCTTGATCGGGTCGAAATCGCCGGATACTGTTAGTTTGTTGTCCTTCGTGTCCATATTCAGAGACCCAATCCCTGGAAAGCATTATGTGACAAAGGTTAGTGACAAAGCCGAACATTTCAAGCACCGGACGATTAATATTACAGTGATGATCTGAACATTCAGTGGGAGAATGAGGGAAAAAAACAGAGAGAGAGCCAATACCTCCAAATCCAGAAACTACTTGCATGGCCTTGCTCCTGCCTCTGTCATCATGTAGATCCAATTTCACTACCAACTTCTGCAAAAGATTGAGAAAAGCAAAACCCAGTTAGATTTCGAATAATCTCTTATGATGACTGAACTCGAAATTCACAAGTGATGTGATAGACTAGCGGTTAAGCAAGTTGGCCATATATAATCAAGAATGAATAAGAATTTGAAGCATCTTTTGATTGTCCTAGCATTATTATTCACATGAACAGATGCAATCATGCTATACGATTAACAATTACAACAGCAAAGAAACAGACGATAATTCATGAAGCTTGAAGCAGAGAGATACCAAGAAAAGTGTTCAAGAAAACCCAGGAGAAAAAAACCATCAAGAATCCAATCTCACAGAAGTGCATAAATCCACTAACACGCAAAAAAAGATGACTTGTTGAAGGACAAAAAGAAATCTCACCTTCATTTCTCCTGGGTTTCAAGTACTGAGATTGTGTCTGCACTAACTTACGATTTGGAATCTAAAAACACTCGAATGACACTCAGCAAGTAAAAACTGAGTGTGTGCACGTATCGTGGCCGAAAGAGTTGCTTTATATATAATGGCGAGCATGAGAGTGCGTGTGAAAAGGAGAAGTTTCTTCGAGGACGCGATGTGTAGAACAAAGCGACAAGTTCTTGACCAGTAGACGAAAGTCAAGTCAACATAATAAAGAGCTGGGGGAAAGAGCCACACGGTTTCTCAGAAAATGAACGAGTCGAGACGATCCAAAACAGTGGCTCGCGATTTTAAAATGAGAGAGAGAGAGCGGGACTTTTGAAGAAGCGTTTGGCAAGTGACTCAGTCGAGTCGTCCCTCACGACTTGGCGATTTTTGAAGCTGTGAGTCTCGACCGTTTGCAACTGACTCAGCCAACGCAGTTGACTGGTTCAACCTTTTCGTTGCGATGTGTCATGAAGGTAGCCATAGAATTGTTGGGAGCAATCGCAAGAGGAACAAAGTATGCGCTAATTGGGATCTATTAACAAGCCCACATCACATCAATTTTTTAATGTGGAGCTTTTTCTAACTCTTCTGCACTACGATCATCCGCCACCGGGATCGAGTTGCTACATCGCAACCACCACCGCTGCTCGAAAACCGTGTTGCTCATAAGATTACTTGATGAGGTATTTACCAAACAATGATGCACATTGGGAATGGGCCATCAATCAACCATCGAATCCGATACCATTTGTTGGGAGTACACAACAACAGAAGCCCAAATTGCTCTTCGTGGTGGTTGACTTGAATGCTAGTTAAGATACATTATTGCTGCTTGAGTGTTATGTGTTGTGTATGAAGGATTGAAGCTTAGGTAGATTTATGATCATGCACTCTAGATGAGGTCCGAATATCTTGTGGGCTCTTTCAGGTGGTTGACCTGAATACTAAGATAGATTATGTAGTTAGGTCATTTCAGAGGCACGAAGCAGAGGGCAAGATGATCAAGATAGTTTCACCAATAAAATTCTCTCCGTTACTGCAAGTATGAGTGTTTAGAAGGTCAAACTTATTCTTGGCATTGTAAGGTCATGTTCTTCTCAGTTGGTATCCTTACAAGTATCCTTGTATGAGGACATAAAGATACTCTGTGTTGTTTCGAAGATGAACAGAAAGAGCAATCCCCTGACCCATCCTCGGCCCCTGTGGCTGGCATATCTAGTCCAACAAATGATGATCGTATAAGCCCCCTTTTTTCCTTCAACTTTAAGAGAATATACATGCAATCAAAGATGAAGGTGGTAGCGCTGTCATCATATACTTCCAAACAATGCAATGAAAGACAAGTTTTTTTTTCTCATTTAATTAGATAAGAACGGCAATGGTTAGTTAAATGGCTAGTCAGTAGTTCACACACGCGATCAAATTTGAAAAATAACACAAGAAAATGACAATAACTTCCGGCATGCAAGGTCTAAGGCCCCACTTTCGTATCTGGGTTTGGTGAAGAAGTTTTCGCGAAATTCGGCGAGTATATCTTGCTTGCTTGCAGCTTGCTTGAAGTCACTTGACTTGACCAGTCACCAGAATTTACCATAAGCCAAAGAAATTATTGAGTCAACAACTTAGACGCATGGATCACATTTAGTATCTGACCTTACTCTTTCTAAGAATTTTATAATCCAGCAAAATACATTTCAAAAGGATCGTGAGGCTAAATTATGACAGGAAGCTGATATAGGAATACCAGGTATGTTTATCAGCTAACTATAGCCGCTGCCACAGCCTATGGACCTCGGGCCATAGGGCGATTGAAATGAACGATATCTGTTGGTGCTTGCAAATTGTTTAATTTGAAATATCCACCGCATATTCCAGTCATTGAAAACAATCGTTGGTTGAAATGGAGTACAAAATGGATCTTCCATATCTTGAATTCCTCAACTGAAAACCAATCTCTCTACATATACACCCTACGCACATACAAGTACTGAACGACGCAACAAAAACGTGATATTCTAGAAAAGGTACACACTCGTTCTTGTGTTTATAAGGCATAATCAACCTTACTGATTCAATCCTCCGCAGTGCACAAACCAAGTCCTTTATTGGTCTGGAAGCACAGAGAATTTCAACATATGACACAATTTGGGGTTTCTTCGTAGTAAGGCATGTAGGGCATGTAGGGCATGTAGTAATTTGTGTGCGGTGTAGGATAGTATCCTGGATAGGCTTTTACGACTTGATCTTCGTTCTTCTTGCCATCGTCTTCCTTAGCTGGTCCAACACTCACGATTTCTGTGTGCCAAGATTTCCTCAGTTTGTTCACCACCTTAACCGGGTCAAAATCGCCGGATACTGTTAGTTTCTTGTCCTTCATGTCCATATTCAGAGACCCAATCCCTGGAAAGCATTATGCGACAGAGGTTAGTGATAAAGTTGAACATTTCAAGCACAAGATGATTAGTTATTACAGTGACAATTCGAACATTCAGTGGGAGAATGAAGGAAAAAAACAGAGCAGAGAGAGAGAGAGCCAATACCATGAAAACGAGAAACTGCTTGCATGGCCTTGCTCTTTTCTTTGGCGTCACGTACATTTACTGTCAGCACCAACTTCTGCAAAAGATTCAGAAAAGCAAAACCCAGTTAGATTTCAAGTAAATATCAATCTTTTTACGACAACTGAACTCGACGTTCACAAGTGGTGCGACAGACTAGCTTTTCAACAAGTTGGCCACATATTAGTCAACAACGAACAAGAATTCGACGCATCATCTGATATTACTAGCATTATCATTCGCATAAACTGTCGCAATCATGCTATACGATTAACAATTACAACAGCAAAGAAACAAACAATAACTCATGAAGCTTGAGACAGAGAGATACCAAGAGAAGTGCTCAAGAAAACACAGGAGAGAATACCATCAAGAACCCCATCTCACAGAAGTGCATGAACACACACACACGTGCCAAAAAAAGAGAGACCTTGTCGAAGGACAAAAAGTAATCTCACCTTCATGTCTATTGGGTTTCAAGTAATGAGATTGCGTCTGCTCTAACTTTCGATTTGGAAGCTAATAACACTCGAATGACACTCAGAGCATGTAAAAACTGAGTGTGTGCACGTATCGGAGGAGACGGGAAGGGCTGCTTTATATAGTGGCGAGCATAAGTGGGAGTGCGTGAAAGGAGAAGTTTCTTGGAAGACGCGATGTGTAGAACGAAGGGGACAAATGAATGACCAGTAAAAATTTGGGGGGAACAAAGTCAATAAAATAAAATAAAGAGCTGAGGGAAGGAGCCACACGGTTTCTCAGAAAATGAACAGATCCTAGACGATCGAAAACAAAGGCTCGCGACTTCTCTAGAGAGAGAGAGAGAGAGAGAGAGAGAGAGAGAGAGAGAGGACATTTGAAGCAGTGAATCTTGAATGTTGGCAACTAATGACTGGGTCCCACGAAGTTGACTCGACGGGTTCAAGCTTTTCGTTCATAACGTGTCGGGAAGATTCTTCCCAAATGCTCCCTCCTCCTATGGCTTTGCTGCTGCCAAGGTTAACAAGACGAACTGCACCGCGCGGCCCGGTGATACGGGGACACGATAAAGACCAAACGGCTTTCTTGTCTAGCATCATTTGCAGATTCTCCAACACTCGCATGTAGATGCAATTGCAGCCCCCGAAAATGAGTCAAAATAAAGTTGTCACGCGGCCGTTTGAATTTGGTGAAGGGACTTTAGAATTCCAAATGCCGAACCAAACTCACCCGCCATGCCTAAAGCTCAGTTTAATGAAAATTTCAAAACTTCCCATTTTACTCTTATTTATAAAGTATACTTCCATTTTTACCCATTTTAAAACAAACCCGAAAGATATTTGCTCTTCTCTCGACATATCTTCGCTCTCGATCCCGCTCGCCTCTCTTCCCTCATGCCCGCTCTCGACACCGCCTGACTCTTCACTGCCCTCCTCTCTTCCCTAAAGGTATGCTGGTTCTTATGATTTTTTGGATAACTTTATGCTGAGCATAACTTGAAAGGACATAACTTGTAAGAGCTTGATTCCTCTGCCTACCGTTTGTCGTTATTCTTGATGAAGTTCTCGAGCGACGAATTGAAAGTGTGTTGTTATCGGATGTATTATTGCTAATTCGCTTTGCTCAAATCGGTTCTATCTGTCCGTTTGCTTCTGTGCTTTGCTTGGTATTTTCTATATTGGTATTAGTATTGTGGAGCACAGCGAATGAGAGAACTTTTTGCCGAACTTTTGGTGCTCGCTAATTGTGGATTTACAATGATCCCGCTCCGTTGCTTCTTAGGAGATATCTAGAAGTAGTTTGGTCATCATAGTTCAATGCTCGATTGTTCTTCAATGTATATATCTGAGGTCGGCCATTGAATTAGGCATTATCATTTTGCACGCATGTAGATATTAAAATCTTCAATCACGAGGATAGTGACCAGATCCGTCCTCAATTACTTGTACATCGCCAACGCGGTCCTAAATCTCCGAGCGAAATTTCAGTACAGTCATGCCCGCCAATCGCCGCACGAAATCGCCGGCACGGCGTCCAGTCGTCGGTACATTTTGAATATTTTTCCGACCGAATTAGCATCCATATACGGGGGTTTAGAAAACCGACTCGGTAAATTTTCCCATTTCCCCTTTTAAAAGAACGCGCTGTGATCGAGCATTTTCACGTACCGTCTGCCGTGTCCGAAGCGTGTCCCGTTTAATCGTTCCCCCTCCTGCGTAATTCTCTAGGACTTCATGGTAGAAAATCTTGTGCAGCACGAGGGCAATCAAATAATCAACGGGACAAAAAAGACGGACGACCGAACAGGAACCAAAAGCGGGCATCACTTTCTTTCTGCGGGCCCTGTTCGTCGACATTTCTGCTCGCTCAAGGGAGCTTCTTCTCTTCGAACTCGCGAAAATGCGAAAGGTCGAGGAACGTGGAATCTCTCCCAGGAAAGTACGCGTTTTCACACACGGTGATGGTGGCGACGTCGTCATCTCCGACGTCGTCATCTCCGTTGACGTTGGAGTCAGGGTCTAAGTCAATGAATTATTATTATTATTATTATTATTACTAATCTAGTTCGATGACATCAGTGAGAATTGCAGGCTGGCAGCGATGGAACATTTTGGCTTTATTTTTAAAAAAATAAGGACCAGCGTTAACCACGTTTTAGCGGATCGAACGATTTTTCTTAAGCTCCGAGCTGATCTAAGGAAGGCGATATCTAAAAGACGCGGCCCACTCTCGTCCACATCTATCTTGAGCCGAACTTAAAAGGTGCCTTCGTTTCGCTGAAAATGAATGATTTAAAACGAATGAAAAATATTTTCACTCTCTAGAAAACGTTTAGAAATGAATTGTCGTCGACATTGAAAATAATTTTTCATCGATTAGTTATTTCGAGCGACGCAAGGTATCGTCTCGAGGAAAATACTTTTGAAGTAATTCATTCTCAAGAAATAAATGGAGCCTTAAATTCCCGATCCTTCCTCTTTCTTCCTCTGGTTTGACATTAAAAATCGACATCATACTATGCCAGCGGCCAAGAAACACTGTTGCCACATATGCAACTGAAATCTATGACAACATGATTCGATTTCGATTCATAGATCTTAAAACTACGCATACTCTTTTTTTTACTCCGGTCTTCGTTGCTCTATCTCACACCGCGCGACGCACTAGATTATGAGACGAACGATTAATGCAATGCAGATTGCACTCAGAATGGATAACCACCGAGCGCATCACGTATAATGCTGCCTACATTGGGCCAACCTCTGAAGCATTTGCACGAGGCAATTTCCGTGCTTTGGATTTTCTCCTCACCATTATGCGATGGTGGGTCGCAAATTATTTAAGACAATCAACAGACTGAATATATCAAAAGCTCGTCGAACAGACCCGTGATACAGTACAAGTCGAAATCAAACCACCACAACTGTTTCAAATCATTCAAGCGCCGAATGTAGGGACGCATTTTCCACAGATTGCCAGAGAAAGAGGCATCGTCTTTCTCAAATTATTACTCAGTTTCATTTGGACATGAGAAGGGAGCCATCAATTTTTCGCTGGTATTATTCCAGGGAACGGCGAAGAATGAATTGAATTATGGCGATGTCCGCGATCACGCTGCAGGTTCGACCGTAAGAGACTTCTGAGCGATTTCTAGAGCTTCCTCCACTGAAGATGCATTCCAGAGTTTGGTTGTGTCGACAGTAGGCTGGCTCCTTGCTAGCTTAGGGAGAAGCTGAAATTCCTGAATAACACAGTATGAGGAGATAGCTTCATGAGTTAGCAAATCGTGAAAGAGAAAATGTCGAGGTAATCTATTTTCTTTCGCATCCTTTCTCTAGAGTCCTCTTTTCCGAGTGTTGATGTTCATTCACTGCACCTTCAGACCTTTTAATTGGAAAAAGGAAACAGCACGGTAGTTTATGCTTCTTGAAGAATGTGACGAAAATATATACGGTAATCAAGAAGTTCTTCCCAGCTAATTTAGACATTGAAAATACATCACGCATTTGAATGTGGTATGTGATGCAGTCTTTCAAAAACTGGTTCGAATATCGAGATCATTGATGAGCAAGTTCCTCTAATATTCCAGATCAAGCACCTCTATTCAAGCCAAAAGGAAAGTTTCCAAAGGCTTCCATACTGAGCATAGCCAAGTCAATTATTAGAGAACTTACTAACTCAATTTTAAGCAATCATTATGATATTGGATACATGCTACGATATTTTAAGTTCACCATGCTTCAATATATGTGGTGCTTTCATATGAAACCGTTGATTGCTTGCATGCAAAAGGCAAGTCAAGTTTTGTACCTAAAAGCCTGATTCAGTTGAGTGAGTTAGTCAATAGAACATACCTCTGGGTTCCCACTTTCTAGAAGAACTCCTTTCAATTTACCTGCGATACAACAAGAGTGAAATTCATACTTTGTGGATGCCGCTAAACCAAAAGCAAAATGTACAATTGGACCACTTTACCAGAATCTACCCAGAATGTTGCAATCTTTGGATCAAAGCTTCCGACTTCAACGGCCTCCCCAACTACATAGAGAATAATACCCTAGGGTTAACTATCAAAACAAAAAATAAAAATCATGATGAGAGATGCATAATATATGCTGCATAGATAGCATATTATACCATTGTCTCCAAAAAACTGCCACCAAAGTTTTCTGGGGCTCCCTTCATACTCAAACACCCTCGAGTAAAAATAGGGCAGATAGTCATATCTGCATGTATGTCAGTGGGAGCATCATTGAACTAGAATGCTATAACCAGCACCTAAATGCTCAGTCTAACAACAAAGAATCAAACGTACGTATCGGTCTGAGCACTCAATATGGATTTTGCACAATGTTGTGCAGATCTTCGAGCGTGATCAACGTGTTCAACTCGTGCGATGCGGTCATACATCTGCCAACATGAACGACAACAATAGTCAGCTTAGAAAAGAAATATGGCCTACTCAGAAAAGCATACCTTCAATGGGAATGCTGCTACATCTCCAATTGCAAAGATTCCAGGGATCTTTGTTCTAAACTGACCGTCAACCTGACAAATTCAAATTTAATGCAATATCACTCGATCATGCACCTTGCCAATGTTAAGCTAAAAGTGCACAGATTCCAGCCAATAAGACAATATAATTTATTATGGAAATTAGCTGGACATTGCGCTTACCTGTATTCCTCCAACAGATGTATTTAAACCGACCCTCTCAAATGGACCGACAGCAGGTTTAGCTCCAATACCAATGACTACCTGCCCAGAGAGAGAAGAGGGGAACAAATTTTATTGAGGTTCCTAGCTATAAATTTGAAGGTAGAATTGATAACCCGAAAGAAGGGCTTTTTATCGAAGGAAGTAAGGTCCAGCAGGTTTTAAAACTGTACTGTGTCTGCTTCAATTGTTGATCCATCTTCGAGTTTAACAGAGCATACACGTCCATCAGAACCAGCTTCCAAGTGTTTAATAGAGGCACCCTGTTTATGCTCAGCAAGTTAAGAACGCTTGTGATAACATGCAGAAGTACACAATCAAAGTGGCATGCCAAGAAAAGGTGATGATCTATAAGACGTGTGCTTGAAGAAATAGCCGCTCACGATCCACCAATTTGGGCAGTACAGAAAGAGAGGAAGAACCTTTTTGAACTTCACACCGTTATCCTGGTAAAATTGTTCATATCTCTGGGCAAGGGAAGGAGT